CGTTCACCATGTAAGAACTTGTTCGTTATGCTTCAGAAGATTGGAGACTGACGAGAATTAGGCTTGAGATGGATTAATGATTGTACATTGAGCGTTGACCCCCCTATACTGAATTTTATTGTTGTTAACAACCATTTGATCAATAAATATGAGAGATGCCCTCTCAAAAAAAAAAAATCCTACACTTTAAAAATCCTTCTGAAAGAAAGCAAAATATCCTCCCTTATCTCCCCAAATCCAATAAATTTTTACTAAATATCTTCCATGCTTTGCTTAAGAAAACTGAAGAATAAGTGTGCCAGTTATCAATTTTTTGCCATTTAACTAAAATTCACCCTTCCTTGCCAGCTCCAGAACAATGCATTTAAGTCTCTTTAAAAATATTTCTTCCTTTGCTGTTTGGTATGGTGTTGAGCCTTGTCAGTACAGGGTGATGGAGAAACATTGTACAAGGAAGGGGTTTTGCTTCCTGGTTCTAGGGGGCTCACTCAGCAGACTCCTCCAGCAAGGGCAGCTTGTCTAGTGTCAGGCTCCTGCAGTGCAGGGGCTTCACCAACATCTGGGCCCTGATGGACATGAAGCTTCCCAGGCATCCAGGTCTCACAGTGTGGGTGGCTTCTCTAGACCTCAGTTCCTGCTGTGCATATGGCTTACTAAGCACCCAGCTTCTGCAGCACCAAGAAGTTGACCTGGCACCCCTCTCAGATGATTTGTAGTGGAATATCTCTAGTTAGACACTTCCCCATGATCAGCTTCTCTGAAACCCCCAAGGACAGATTTCCAGCAAGTTCCACCAGCACAACACCAAAGCAACTATCCTGCCATGCTTTGAAAGACAGCTGTGCCCTTCCAACAAGGTCTAGATTCATTCCTGGGATGTAGGGGATGCTTTTGTTTGGTTGCTCCATCACAGCCCTAGAGGTACTGGCTGTTCCTATTATTTGCTATTCCTTTAGTCTTTAGAGTTCTCTTTCCTTTTACTAGCTAATTCCTTGTCACTTCAATCCCATTACAGTTAACAGTTCTTGATGTTAAACTTTCCCTTTTTAAATTAGTATGTGGTTTCTTTCTTCTGATCAGATCCTGATTTATACAATAAGAAACAGGCTGTAAATTCTGGGAACTTCCTAAAAACATAGAGGTAAAAGCCTGTCACCACACAGTCTAAAATCCTATGCTTTTCTCTTGAGTTCCTGTGGGATAGAGGATGAAGAAAAGGAAGGAGTCATATATACTGAAGTAATTAAAAGCCATTCCATGGAACAGTGAAATCTGATCACAAGGTGCAAATGTATCATGTGAATAGACAGAGCACAGAATAAAGAGTGAGGGTCAGGGAACACTATCAAATATGGAAGACATGCTGTGGAATACTATGCAGCAATTTGAAAGAGTGAAAGCAGATGAACACACTGTAATATGGACAGACCTTAGGGATGAGTGAAAAAAGGAACAGAATTAAGATACATTGCACACTATAATTTACATGTACTCAAAATACATATTTATAAACCAATAATACCTCAGGCTTTAAGAGAATACCACATAAATTCAAAGATCATACTCATTAGATCAGTTGCCCATGGGAGGAGGTCTAAGGAATGGATATGGGAAATTAGAATAAAAGAGATGAAATATAAAAATACCTGAATGTACAAGGATAGAATCCAAGATAAGGGGTGGGGTGGAGGTGGGAGTGGAGTAAGAGGAATAAACAGACCCTAGATAAGACAGGCTGGTATGTATGTGATCCAGGATAATGAGATTATCATTTTGACAGGCAGCTCTCAATTTTATCATTTGACAAGCAGCTCTCTTGTCAAAAAGCCAAGCAAAGAAGACACTGGATATTGGCAAGGGTCATATTTGGAAATGGCATTTTTATATCTGAGAGACTTCTGTCAACTATCTTCAATTAAGTCCAAAAATTTAGAATTTTCAAGACACGTTATCATCAGAGCCTTTCAGAGGTATTAGTCTCTCATAGGAAAAGTGAGATTTACTTCCATGTTCCCCATCTGCCAGGGTCACACTTACCTGAACACCTCTGATGTGGGGTTTCCTCCTCCACTGCCCATGGGCCCTCTCCTTGCTCCAACCTGAAGATGACCTCTGGTTTTGGAACCTGGTATCCTGGTAACACAACATGATACAGTATTGGTCTAACTAATTGGGTGTCAGGAGCCTTCCAATGATACTTCCATTTGCTCCTTAAAAAAGCAATCACATTTCACTGGGAACAGAATAATAATCACAGAGGTGAAAAGGGACTCAAGAATCTCAGACAAATCAAGGGTGACACCATCACTCCCGATGTCCCAGAGCATTTAGCAGCTGAGACTGGAAAGAGCCTCACTGAGGCCCCTGGCAGGTGCACAGTGTGCTGTGCTTACCCACTGAGCGCAGGTGGCTGTAGTTCTCCAGGGTCACATCCCAGTACAGGCGTCTTTGAGCAGGATCCAGTTGTTGCCACTCCTCCTTGCTAAAGTCCACAGCGACATCCTCAAATGACAGTGAGACCTGAAACAACAATCCTCTTTAAGGTGACATGGTCAGCCTTGGGGGGTGGAGGGAAGATAAAAAGCAGGCTGTTCTTAATAACTTTTACCATGTTATCATGTAGGGCTTTCACTCAGTAACTAGGTTTGTATTTTACTTTGTGAGAGAAAAAAAACTTACTGAAGTGTCTTGATATTCATTGTGTACTACATTCACTCATCTATTCATTCAAACATTCTTTTCTCAAAAGTGAGGAATAATTCCTAAGTGCGTCTCCTTTGACAAGGGAAACAAAATAAAAAATGAACAAATGAGACTACATAATGCTAAAAAGCTTCTGTACAGCAAAGGACACCATCAGCAGAACAAAAAAGCATCCTACAGTATGGGAGAATATATTTGTAAATGACATATCTGACAAGGGATTAACAACCAAAATATATAAAGAACTCACTCTCAATACCCAAAAAGCAAATAACCCTATTAAAAAATGGGCAGAGGATATGAAGAGACAATTCTCCAAAGAAGAAATTCAGATGGCCAACAGGCACATGAAAAGGTGCTCCACATCGTTAATTAACAGGGAGATGCAAATTAAAACCAAAATAAGATACCACCTCACACCAGTTAGGATGGCCAACATAGAAAAGACTAGGAACAACAAATGCTGGCGGGGATGTGGAGAAAGGGGAACCCTCCTATACTGCTGGTGGGAATGTAAGCTAGTTCAACCATTGTGGAAAGCAGTATGGAGGTTCCTCAAAAAATTAAAAATAGAAATACCATTTGACCCAGGAATTCCACTCCTAGGAATTTACCCTGAGAATTCAGGACCACAGATTCAAAAAGACATATGCACCCCTATGTTTATTGCAGCACTATTTACAATAGCCAAGAAATGGAAGCAACCTAAGTGTCCATCAGTAGATGATTGGATAAAGAAGATGTGGTACATATACACAATGAAATATTATTCAGCCATAAGAAGAAAACACATCCTACCATTTGCAACAACATGGATGGAGCTAGAGGGTATTATGCTCAGTGAAATAAGTCAAGAGGAGAAAGACAAGTACCAAATGATTTCACTCATCTGTGGAGCATAAGAACAAAGCAAAAACTGAAGGAACAAAACAGCAGCAGATTCACAGAACCCAAGAATGGACTAACAGTTACCAAAGGGAAAGGGACTTGGGGAGGGTGGGTGGAAAGGGAGGGAGAAGGGGAATAAGGGGCATTATGATTAGCACACATAATGTGGGGGGAGGGCATGGGGAAGGTTGTACAGCACAGAGAAGACAAGTAGTGACTCTATAGCATCTTACTACGCTAATGGACAGTGACTATAACGGGGTATGTGGTGGGGACTTGATAATGGGGGGAATCTAGTAACCACAATGTTGCTCATGTGATTGTATATTAATGATACCAAAAAAGTGAGGAATAAAGTAGGCTCTCTTTAAGTCTTCTAGTTAATGAAGGACTATACATACATTTACTGATTCAGTATGTGCCAGCTAGTGGCAATATAGAACTGAATAAAGTATAAAACAATTAGACTTGGACAATCAACATAGGAAGACACAAAGGGGGCTAAAAGGCATTTGGAAGAACAAGTATGGGGGGCAAGGCAAAACAATAAAGCCTTTAAAAGATGATACAGAAAAAAATAAGATAATATAGACAAATATCTTCATGATTGTGGGTTAGGAAAATAATCCTCAAATGGGATACAAAAACATTAATCTTAAAGAAAATGATTGACAAGTCTGTCTACACTAAAGTTTAAAACTTCTATTCTTTTAAAAGACAGCATTATAAGAGAAAAAAGGAAAGCCACAGAAGACATCTGCAGCACATACTGACAAAGGGCTCATATCTGGAGGATGTAAAGAACTCTTACAATCTGATAAGAAGAGACCACCTAGTAGAAAAGTGCAAAGGGCAAAGGATTTGAAAAGTGGGTATTTTACAAAAGAGCTATCCAAGGAATCAATAAACTCAAAAAAAGGCTTAACCTCCTTAGTAACCAGGGAATGCAAATTCAAACCACAATGAGATACTACTACACAACCCCTAGAATGTCTTCAATGAAAAAGGCTGACAATATGAAGTGTTGAGAATTGGTGCAATGAGAATTCTCGTATTGCTGATGGCAGTGTAAATTGGTACAACAATGTTGGACAGCATTTTGGCTTTACCTGGTAATGCTGAATCATGCATACACTAGGACACAGTGCTTCCACTCAGAGATATGCCCAGTTGGAATATGTGCAACATGTGCAACAGGAGTCATGCTCAAGAATATTAACAGCAGCATTATTCCAAATGTGTGTGATATTTCATGATAAAAAATTAACAGTAATTTAAAAAATCAGTGTTCCAATGGAATATTACTCAGCCATAAAAAGAAAAGAAATCCTACCCTTTGCAACAACATGGATGGATCTAGAAGGTATTATGCTCAGTGAAATAAGCCAGGTGGAGAAAGACAAATACCAAATGACTTCACTCACTTGTGGAGTATAACAACAAAGCAAAATTGAAGGAACAAAATAGCAGTGGACTCACAGACATTGAGAGGGGACCAGTGATTACCAAAGGGGAGGGGTAAGGGAGGGTGGGTAGAGAGAGAACGGGATTGAGGGGCACTATCATTTGCAATCACAATATGGGTAAGTCACAGGGAAGGCAGTACAGCACAGACAAGACAAGTAATGACTCTACAGCATGTTAATACACTGATAGACAGTGACTACAATAGAGGGGGTGAGGACTTGATAATATGGGTGAATGTTGAAATCACAGTGTTGTTTATGTGAAACCATCATAAGATTATATATCAACAATACTTTAATTTAAAAAAATCAGTGTTCAACAACACTAACAGTATCTACTGTCCTTGTGGAAAAATATTAATGATATTTTCTTAGTTGCTTTTATTTGCATAATCTATAACCATATATCCCAATCACCCACCCACAAACAAATCAAGACTGTTTTTGTGACTATGGAGTTTGGGAAGTTGGAGGAGAAAACCATGCAAATATATTACATATTCAAAAAATTAAGTTAAAAATCACCAATGGGACCACAATGGAAAGGACATGATTTTCTCTGTTTCTCCTGCTAAGACCTACAGAATGACACAATGGTGCTTTCCCTGAGTTTCTTTTTGCTCCATATATCTTGGACTAGGTGCTGGGGAAGCTGGCAACTCAGAATGCCAACTGACACAGACAAAAACAGCCCTGAGAAAGGGGCAACATACCAAGAGAGAAAAATTTACATAATAACAGCCCTACTTTAGCCAAGCATCACAGAAAAAACTGCAGCCCACACTCCCATCTCCAGCAGCAAAGGCTGAGTGGGAAGCCTAGAGTGTCGTCCCTACCTGGGGGTAATGAGGCCCCTTCCCAACAGTGTCAGGTTAGGCTGTGGGGATCTTGGATTTGCATCTCCACTCAGTAATGAGGTGCCCTTCTGCTTCACAACCAGGGTAGTGTTAGAGGCAATCTGGTGGACAGCCTGAAATCCTATCCCCTCCCAGCAGCAACAAGGTTCTTGTCTCCCACTGGGGTGTCAAAGTGTAGAGGAATGCAGGGAACAGGGCTGAGCCACCCAGTTTTCGTAGAAACAATGTGAGGCTAACATTCCTGGACCCTGCCCTAAGTTAGATAACTAGAAGCCAGAAACTACATGAGGCTAACATTCCTGGACCCTACTCTAAGTTAGATAACTAGAAGTAAACGACCCCCCTGGGGTCAAAACTCGTGATAAGTCACATAGGAATGCTTGTGCAAAGGTCAGGCACCTGGTGTATCCCTGTTCCAATTATATTGGCCAAAGTATAGAATGTGTTTCAAATTCATTGGTTGGGGTAATGTGCAGGCTCTGGTGCAATGACTGTAGAAATCCCATATAAACCATACCTAAAGTTGCTTGGGGGTTGGCAGCTCAGACTCAGCCTGCGTGACAGGGGAGGTGCTGTCGACCCCAGCTTGCTGGCTGAATAAAGACTTTGCTTGGATTTTCATCTCCATGTCCGTGTGTCTTGTTCTCTGGGAAACCCCGGAGTCCTGGACCCTAACATTTGGGGGCTCATCCGGGATCCGTGCGGCTTCCCTGAGAACAAAGGACGGCTGGGGGCAAGGTCTAATTGTCCAGACGGGGCGGTGTAATTCGATGGTCGCCCCCTCGTGTCTGCATAAATCCATTATAAAGCGGGAATCACCATCCCGTGTATGGTCTCGGGTTAGTGACCCCGAGTGAGAAAGTCCGGGTTGGTAGTCCCTGCCCCCAGGTTAGTGACCCTGGGTGAAGTCCAGGTGATTAATCCTGGCCCTAGGGTCCGAGTGACTTGGCCTTAGGAAAGCAAGTCCAATCAGCAGGAACCTGGCGCCCGAGGAGGAAGGGATCAAGCTCGTCACCCTGCGGCAGTCCGAATGGACGCCTTTCCGGAGAATCATGAGAGTTTTTGAGGATCCTGAAAGTGGTGAGTGTGGTGCACACCAGAGTGAAAGAAGGACCGGTCCGAACAAGTGCGATCAGATGTGGTGTGTGTGCTTAGTGTTATCATTGATTGTTTTATTGTGTTTTGGTTTCGGTTTATATTTCTTTCTGCGCTTTGCATTTTAAGTCTCCCTGTTCTAAGGTTCCCTGTTCTTTCCGTTCCTCCTCTCTGCCACTAAATCATTCCCCGTGGGCATGGGTCGGGCAATTAAGAGCCATTAGGGCACCCACCGCTAGAAGACTCCCGTGACAGGATAAGGGGGTCACAGCAGTGAATCCCAGATAAATTCGCGTCCCCTGCAGAAGAAAAACTGTGCAACAACAGGCACCCGTTCACAAGCACATACACCAGTCATCTTGTTAGAGTGGCATCTCTACCTTTTAGCCTTGTCTTCCTCGTATTTTTCACTATGGGCCAGATTCAGACTACTCCTAAAGGTCTGATCCTTTCCCACTTTCCGAAGGTTAGGAAACAGGCCCTGAATATGGGTTTTAACATTGAGAAAGGTAGGCTCGATGCTTTTTGCTCGGCCGAGTGGCCTTCCTTTGGAGTAGGCTGGCCGATCCAGGGGTCTCTTTTCAGGGACCTTATTGACAAGGTCAAAGCCGTTACCTCCCGGCCAAACCCTGAGGGACACCCTGACCAACTTCCCTATATACCTGTTTGGGAAAATTTGGCTAAGAATCCCCCTTCATGGCTGAGGCCCTTTTTGGTGGAGAAACCTCACACCGACCTACCAAGAGCCTCCATCCTAGTTACCCAGGAAGATTTAAAGTCCCCTAATCGCAGGGCCAAAAACCCGAGCACGCCGCCTGTCCTCCCTGACAGTTCTCCTCTTTACCCCCTTCTGCCGATTGAGCAGCCATCCCCGTATGCGGAGGAGAGGGGTGAAGCTGCCGGGAGGAAAGAAAACAAGGCTGGGGAACCCAGCGGGAACCAGGCGGCTGCAGCTTCCCCACACTCTTCAGCAGAGGAAGGCAGGAGGCCAGAAAGAGCTTCCCCACACTCCCCCAACCTGGCGCCACGCTGGGCACCAGGTAGAGCAAGAGGAATGTAGTTAAGGCCTCGGGGGGCCAGGGAACAAGAAGGGGAGGCCCCCTCCTCCACCTCAGAAGGAGCAGTGCCGGTTCTGCCTGTGCATGCCATCGGTACAGGCATCGCTCAACTATATCAATACTGGCCCTTTTCATCTAGTGACCTCTATAATTGGAGGACTCAGAACCCTCCCTTCTCAGAGGACCCCAAGTGTCTTATAGGTCTGGTGGAGTCCATTGTGTTTACCCATAATCCCACATGGGACGACTGCCAGCAATTGCTCCGCACTCTCTTCATGATGGAAGAGTGAGAGCGTATCCTCAATGAGGCCAGGAGAAATGTCCTTGGAGAGAATGGAAGACCCACTACCCTCCAGCCCATCATTGACGAGGCGTTCCCACTTACGCACCCGGATTGGGACTTCGGGACTGCAGAAGGTAGGGAGCGTCTCCGGGTCTACCGCCGGACTCTGATGACCGGTCTCCGGGCAGCCGCCAGATGGCCCACTAACCTGGCTAAGATAAAAACTATTGTTCAGGGGGAAATGGAAAGCCCAGCCGCGTATCTGGAAAGGCTCTTTGATGCTTACAGGCAGTATACCACCATAAACCTGGACGCAGAGGAACATAGATCAGCTGTAGTCCTCTCATTCATCAACCAGGCAGCCCCCGATATCCGGAGAAAACTCCACAAGCGGGAGGACCTGGGGGAGATCTCTATTAGGGAACTGCTGCAGCAGGTGGAGAAGGTCTTCAATGCTAGGGAAACTCCGGAGGATAGAGAGGAAAGGCTGATGAAAGAGAAATGGGTAATGCAGGAGAAAAACAGGAAGGAAGACAGATTATTTCAGAAGAGGGAGAACAAGAAGCAGAGGGAGGAGATGGCCAGGATATTCCTGACCGGGGTGAAGGAGGGCCGTAGGCCAACTCGAGGAACAGGACCCCATCAATCCCAACTATGTAACATCAACCCCATCAATGTGCCCTGTGTAAGAGATATGGACATTGGAAGAGGGCGTGCCCCCAAAGGGGGGAACAAGGAGGAGGGAACCCCATTAAAACCCAGCATCTAGGAGAGGAGGATTGAAGGGGATGGGGCTCGGCACCCCCCCCCCCGAGTCCTGGGTAACCCTGTGCATGGAGGGGACTCCCATTGGGTTCATGGTAGATACTGGGGCACAATATTCAGTTCTCAAACAGGCCCACGGTCCCCTGAACCCAGGACGCACAAGTATATTCCAGGGAGCGACAGGGTCCAAGAAATGTGCCTGGACCACTAGCAGAAAAGTGGACCTAGGAAGGCATCAGGTCTCTCACTCATTTCTGGTCATACCTGAGAGCCCCGCACCGTTGTTATGTAGAGACTTACTAACCACGGTTGGGGCGCGCATTCATTTTGAACCCGAAGGGATAAAAATCATGGACAAAGAAGGGCAGCCCCTACAACCAGCGCATGTGTTAACTCTGTACCTGGCCGACGAACATCGTCTGTTTCAGGCGGATCAAGAAAAGAGGGGCCAGGGAGAAATGGACTCTTGGTTGCAGAGGTTCCCTTCCGCATGGGCTGAGACCAGAGGAATTGGTCTCACTAAACATCTATCCCCGGTCGTTGTTCAACTCAAAGCCGCGGCTCTACGCATCCGGGTCCGCCAATATCCAATGCCGGAAGAGGCTAGGAAAGGGATAGCACCCCATATCCATAGACTGTTGGAGACAGGAATCCTTAAAACCTGCCAATCTGCATGGAATACGCCCCTGCTTCCAGTGAGGAAGCTTGGCAGTAGAGATTACAGACCGGTGCAGGACTTGCGAAAGGACAATGAGAGGGTAGAAGACATCCATCCTACAGTGCCCAACCCTTACACCCTACTCAGCCACCTGCCACCTACGCATGTGTGGTATACTACTCTGGACCTGAAAGACGCCTTCTTTAGTATCCCACTCTCTGAAGTTAGTCAGCCTTTGTTTGCCTTTGAGTGGCAAGAGCCGGTGAGGGGGTGGGGGGGGAAGAAAAGGGCAGCTTACCTGGACTAGACTACCACAGGGCTTCAAGAACTCTCCCACCTTATTCAATGAAGCCCTAAGCCAGGACCTGGAGCCCTTTTGCAGGAGCCACCCCTGTGGGGCACTGCTGCAGTATGTGGATGACCTGTTGCTGGCCACGGAAACCCGTGAGGAGTGCGAAGAAGCCACGGGGAACTTGCTGGCTGAACTAGGCAAACTGGGATATCAAGCCATTGCCAAGAAAGCCCACATCTGTCAGAGGTCAGTGGTCTACTTGGGCTACAAAATATCTAATGGGGCCAAGTGGCTAACGCAGGCCATGAAATAAACTATCCTGACTATCCCCGTCCCTTCCTCACCCTGGGGAGTGAGGGAATTTCTTGGCTCAGCCGGGTTTTGCAGGCTCTGGATTCCAGGGTACGCAGAAATAGCCCGACCACTATACGAGGCGACCAAAGAAGGGCCGGGCTGGCAATGGACTCAGGAACAACAGGAGGCTTTTGACAGACTAAAAGAAGCTCTCCTCTGGGTCCCCGCCCTATCTCTGCCAGACCCAGAAAAACCCTTTATCCTGTTTATAGATGAAAAGAAGGGAGTGGCCAAAGGAGTCCTGGCTCAGCAGCTGGGCCCATGGAAAAGACCTGTGGCCTATTTGTCCAAGCGGCTAGACCCAGTGGCCTCCGGGTGGCCACCTTGTCTGCGTATCCTAGCAGCTATTGCTCTACTGGTAAAGGAGGCAGACAAGCGGACTTTTGGCCAGAATCTGAGAGTAACAGCCCCACATACCATAGAGGGGATCCTCAGGCATCCTCCAGGAAAATGGATGACGAACGCAAAACTTACCCACTACCAAGGGCTCCTACTAGATTCTCCACGAATCGCCTTCTCTGACCCGGTAACCCTAAATCCTGCCACCCTTCTGCTGGACCCAGATCTGTTGACCCCCACCCACGACTGTAGAGACATACTTTCCGAAATTATCCAGGTGCGAGCAGACCTGAAAGACAAACCGTTACCAAACTGTGAACTAAATTGGTATATGGATGGGAGCAGCTTTGTGCAGGAGGGGGTCAGGAGAGCAGGGGCAGCAGTAGTAACCCACGAAGGGTAAGTTGTCTGGAGCGCATCTCTGCCCCCTGGCACCTCAGCACAGAAGGCGGAACTTATTGCTCTCGCTGAGGCCCTGGAAAGAGCAGAAGGCAAGCGGGCCAACATTTACACAGATAGCAGATATGCCTTTGGCACTGTCCATGTCCACAGTGTCATCTACCGAGAAAGAGGATTCCGTTCTGTGGAAGGGAAGGGACTGAGGAATCTGCAAGAAGTCCAAAGACTACTAGCTGCTGTCGAAAAACCCAAAGCGGTAGCAGTTATACATGTACCGGGCCACCAATCAAGGAAGACACCTGAGGCCATCAGCAACAGCCATGCTGATGCAGAAGCTAAGAGGGCAGCCCTCTCGGACTCCCTTGTACTTGCAGCCCTCGAAATACCCATACCTGAACTGCCCGCCTTGCCACCCAAACCTGAGTATTCCCCCCAGGATCTTGAGTGGATTAGGAAACAAGTATCAGGAGAAGTGTCTGAAGAGGGAAACTGGAGTAGAGACCAAGAAGGTAGGTTGATCCTGCCAGAAGCATTAGGACAGTACATGCTTGCTAATCTGCATAAGTCCACCCATCTAGGCTGGAAAAAGCTGCTCAGCCTTTTTCAGTCTGCGCAGTTAGTGTTTCCCCACCAAAATGAGGCAGCTCGTCAGATCACAAAAGAATGCGGTAGCTGTGCAATGCTAAGACCAACCCGAAGATGGCTGCACCCGGCAGGTACCCGGGAAAGGGGGAGGGCTCCAGGGAGGAACTGGGAAATAGACTTCACCGAAGTAAAACCAGGAAAGTATGGATATAAGTATTTGCTGGTTATGGTAGATACCTTCTCTGGGTGGGTGGAGGCTTTTCCAACCAAGCATGAGACTAGCCAGGTAGTAGCAAAAAGATTAATTGAGGAAATCATCCCCAGGTATGGGTCCCTGAAGCTATAGGTTCCGATAACGGCCCAGCTTTCATAAGCAAAATCCTGCAAGGATTAGCCCGAGCTTTGGGAATAGATTGGAAGTTACACTGTGCTTATAACCCACAAAGCTCTGGGCAGGTAGAAAGAATGAATCAGACCCTAAAGGAGACCCTTTCTAAATTGGTATTGGAGACTGGCGGGGACTGGGTGACCCTCCTTCCCTTAGCCATCTTCCGCGCTCGGAACTCCCCCTATGTACATGGTTTAACTCCATTTGAGATAATGTACGGGGCTCCTCCACCCATAATTCAGCGAGTGCAGCTTCCCGGTGCAGAGAACTCGGCCCCTGACTATTTGAATGTGTTGCAGGCTCTTGCCAAAGTGCAGCAGGAAATCTGGCCCCTGATCAGAGCATATTAAGAGGGCGGGAAAATTCCGAGCCCGGAACATGGCATAGTCCCAGGGGATACGGTATGGGTCAAAAGACACCAAGTAAGGACTCTTGAACCCAGGTGGAAGGGACCTTACGTTGTATTGTTTACCACCCCCACTGCTCTCAAGGTTGATGGTATCGCTCCTTGGGTGCATCACACCCATGTTCGGAAAATCCTGCCTCACAAAAACCCGGGTGATCACGAGGAAGAGTGGGAAGTGCAGCAGCATCCTGCGAATCCACTAAAAATACACCTAAGCCGAAGATGAAGGGGATCCTGCTGATAAGTGCCTTCGTATGGAGTCTTGAGGAAGCTACATTGGTGAAGCTGATTCCAGGGCCCGCAAGAAAACCGGGTTCGGGTCTCTCCGGGTTAGGTAACCCCTTATGGGAAATGGTGCAGGCATTCACAGAGACTCTGAACCCACCACTCCCTCCCTCACCGATCCCTGTTGGTTATGCTATACAGGTTCACCCCCCTTCTATGAGGCAATCAGGATCAATGGCTCCTACACCATTAACGACTCCTATCCCACTTATTGGGACAGGGGGCCAAGGGGACTTACAGTTGCTCAGGTCTCAGTCACGGGAACGTGTGTAAGCTCAGTCCCGATAGTCCGGAGCCAGTTATGCTCGTCCTACACGTACAATACATGGAAGCAGGACAAGTGGATTATACCCTCCTCGGGTTGGTGGCTCTGTTTAAAGACAGGCCTCACCCCGGCCATATCCACCTCTGTGTTTAATGCTAACAGTGAGTTTTGTGTACTTGTGGCCATTCTACCATGCCTAGTATATCGTTCTCATGAGACCCTCCTTTCTTATTGGGAAGAATGGCCAAACCCCCACAGGGAAAAAAGGGAAGTTATTACCGCCTTGACCACTGGGGCCCTTTTTGCCCTAGGGATGGCAGGGGCTGGCACAGAGGTCACAGCCCTTGTAAGTCGAAAACAGGGGCTCACAGCTCTGAGGCAGGCTGTTGACAGGGACCTAGAACAACTTCGGCAGACAATATCAGACTTGGAACAATCTCTTACTTCCTTAGCTGAGGCGGTCCTACAAAACAGAAGGGGCCTGGACCTCCTGTTCTTAAAAGAAGGTGGACTGTGCACAGCCTTAAAGGAAGAGTGTTGCTTCTATGTACACAAAACGGGTGCAGTCAGAGATTCCCTGGCCAAACTAAAGAAAGATCTAGAGAAGAGACGTAAAGAATATGACAGTAGCGAAAGCTGGTTTGACTTGGTTCAAATACAAACCTTTGTTCGCTACCCTACTCTCAGCTGTTACAGGGCCACTGGTCATCCTGCTGTTATTGCTTACGATTGGTCTGTGCATAGTAAATGGGCTGCTTAGGTTTGTGCGGGAAAGGGTTAACGCCATCCAACTTCTGGTCCTTCGACAGAGATATCAGGCCTTGGATGCCGCTGTGGAAGATTCCTCAGTTTAATCAAGAAAAGGGGGGAATGTAGAGGAATGCAGGGAACAGGGCTGAGCCACCCAGTTTTCGTAGAAACTACGTGAGGCTAACATTCCTGGACCCTGCCCTAAGTTAGATAACTAGAAGCCAGAAACTACGTGAGGCTAACATTCCTGGACCCTACCCTAAGTTAGATAACTAGAAGTAAACGACCCCCCTGGGGTCAAAACTCGTGATAAGTCACATAGGAATGCTTGTGCAAAGGTCAGGCACCTGGTGTATCCCTGTTCCAATTTTATTGGCCAAAGTATAGAATGTGTTTCAAATTCATTGGTTGGGGTAATGTGCAGGCTCCAGTGCAATGACTCTAGAAATCCCATATAAACCATACCTAAAGTTGCTTGGGGGTCGGCAGCTCGGACTCAGCCTGCGTGTCAGGGGAGGTGCTGTCGACCCCAGCTTGCTGGCTGAATAAAGACTTTGCTTGGATTTTCATCTCCATGTCCGTGTGTCTTGTTCTCTGGGAAACCCTGGAGTCCTGGACCCTAACAAAAGGAGGCCAAATGGAGAACCTGAACTTCCACTTCCACCAGGCAGCAAGGAGGAGAATGTCATTTGCTAGCAGAACAGTGTCACAGAAGGCCAGCTGAACACAAATTTAAATATACCCATGTCTCATAGTTCCCCAAATATCCAGCACATAACTGGAAATCAGGCATCATGCAAAGAAGCAGGAAAATCTCAACTGGAGTGAGAAAAAACAGTCAACAGACACCAACATTGAGATGACACATATGTTAGAATTATCTGACAAGAAATTTAAAGCAGTCATCATAAAAATGTTTCAGTATACTTAAAAGATATGCAAAAATAGAAAGTCTCAGCAAAGAAATAAAAGATATAAAGAAGAACCAAACAGAAAGTTAAGAGCTGAAAAATACAATAACTAAAATTGAAAAACTCAGTAGGTGAGCTCAACAGCAGAATAGAGAGGACAGAGGAAAAAAAATCATAGAACTTGATGATAGAACAACAGAAACAATCTGATCTGAACATCAGAAAGAAAATCGACTGAAAAAAAAATGAGCAGAGTCTTAGAGACCTGTGAGACTATAATGATACATCTGGTATTCAAGTCATCAAAGTCCCAGGAGAGGAGAAAGAGTGTGTAGCTGAAAAAGTATTTGAAAACTGGCTGAAAATTTCTCAAATTTGGTAGAAGATATCACCTAGAGATTCAAGAAGCGGAGCAAACCCCAAAAGGATAAACCAAAAGCCTGTATCAAGACACATTATAATCAAACTTGGAAAATTAAAGACAAAGAAAAAATCTTAAAATCTGCAAGAGAAATGACATCTTACCTATAGGGGATAAACAAAAGGACAGCGGATTTCTCATCAGAAAATGTGTAGGAGAGAAGTGGCACAGCATTCTTCAAGTGCTGAAAGAAAAGAACTGTCAACCCTGAATTCCATATCTGGCAAAATTATCCTTAAGAAATGAAGCAGTAATGGCCAATAAGTATATGGAAAGATGCTTGACATCATTAATTATCAGAGAAATGCAAATCAAACTACAATGAGATACTATCTCACACCCACTAGGATGCCTAGAATCAAAAAGTCAGATACTAGCAAGTGTTGATAAATATGAAGAGAAATTGTAAACCTCATATGCTGCTAGTGGGAATGTACAATGGTGTGGCTGCTATGGAAAACAGTCTGACAGGTCCTCAGACATTTAAACACAGAGTTACCATTTGATCCAGCAATTCTACTCCTGGGTATACTCAAGATAAATGAAAATATATGTCCTCATAAAAAGGTGTACACAAATGTCTATAGCAGCATTACTCATAATAGCCAAAAGATGTCAACAACCCAAGTGTACATTAGTTGACTTGGATAAACAAAATGTGCACATCTGTATAACAGAATATTATTCAACCATAAAAAAGAATTAAGTACTGATAACACTACAACCCATACATGTACAATGTGCTCTGCTTCTTCCCTATCTCTCTGCCTACACACATACACACATACCTACCTATTATGTGGACTGGTGACTTCCTACTTTATTCCCTGGGTTATCATTGATTACTGTCATTTATATTTCACTACTCATTATATTTTGCTACAGATTTGGCCAGAGGGAGCTCCTTGAAAACATTATGCTGAGTGAAAGACACTAGACGCAATCACCATAGATGATATGGTTCTACTGATGTGAAACTTCCAGAATAGTGAAGTATATAGAAACAGAAAGTATATTAGTAGTTGCTTAGGGTTGGGGGGAGGCAGGCAGAGGGGTAGTAGGGTGAGGGGGTTGAGGGCTAAAGGATATGGGGTTTCTTTTTGAGGTGATGAAAATGTTCTACAATCGATTGTGGTAATGATTGCATGTATCCATAAATATACAAAACGCCACTGGACTGTACAGTTTAAATGGGTAAATTGTATGGTATGTGAATTATATCTCAATACATTTGTTATAAAGAAAGAAGAGATGAGGGGGAAATCAAGGTATTTTCAGATTAAGGAAAACTGAGAAAATCTATTGCCAGCAAACCTACCTTAAAAGAATGGTTAACACAAGTTCCCTGAACAGAAAGGATGATGAAAGAAGGAATCTTGGAACATCAGGGAAGAAGAAAAAGCAGAAAGAACAAAACTGTTGTTAAATACAATAGACTTTCCTTTTCTTCTTGAGTTTTCTAAATTCTGTTTGAAGGTCAAAGCAGAAAGTATAGCAATGCCTGATGTGGGACTCCATGTCTGTAGAGGAAATATTTAAGACAATTATATTATAAACTGGGGAGAATAAAGGAATTGGAGCTAAGTTTTCTACATTTCACTCTAACTAGTAGAAGGTCAACACCAGTAGACCTATGCAGTGATGGAATGGTTCTGTGCCTGGATTATCGTACAGCAATCTACACATGCGTAAAATGGCAGAGAACTACACACATGCTGTTGCAATGTCAGTTTCCTGTTTGTGGTATTGTACTCCAGTGGTGCAGGAAGTAACCTCTAGGGAAACTGGGGTAAGGGTACATGAGACCTCCCTGTACCATCTTTGCAACTCCTTGTAAATCTGCAATTATTTCAAAATAAAAATTTTTTAACAAACTACCAGTATTATCCTCAGAAAGACTGGAGGAGTGAAGGCACCAAAAAGAGATCAGAATGCTAATTAAAAAGGAGCATTTACTTCTTCCCTATCTATATGCCTACCTAAGTACCTACCTATTATATAGACTAGTGACTTCTTACTTTTCTATTACTATCATTATTTATTTTGCTACTCAAATTATCCCAGATTTGGCCAGAGGGAGCTCTTTCAGGTGGTTCCTGTGTCCTTTGTGCCCCCATCTTCTGAGCACTTCATTACTTTCTAGCACAATGACTTCAGGATCATTGGGTACTTTCTCTGTTCTAACCTTGGAGTGATTCACTTCTCCAAGCAGCTCTAGTTCCTATTAGTGGCAAATCAAGGGGTGCTCATTGTGCCTGGCATATAGTTGTCCTTTCAGAATCACACAGAGGAGTGTTTCTCCTTGTACTAGAACACCAACTAATTCATGTAGAAGAAATAATGGAATTCAAAAAACCCCATTAGGGAAACAGCACAGTAATTAATTGTTACAGGCAAGAATCACCACTGGATGCTAAAATCAGTGGACAAAAGCATGAGATATTAGGCTCAAAGTATCTCCCCATAAGTTATTAATTACAAAGGGAAGATAGTAACTTTATATCGTATCTGACAGACACCATGTTAGCTAGGTGATCAAAGTTAATATTATTAATAAAAGACAAATTGATGTTTGAAAGTCTATTGACAATGAGGCATTGAGAAAAACACATCATTTCTGTGATATTCCTGACAAAAATTAATGACCTGAATTTAATTATGAGGAAGCAAGAAACAAACCCAAACTGAGGGACATTTTCCCATACAGTCAGTGTCAAGAAAGTCAAGGGAAGGCTAAGGAACTGTTCAGATTCAAGACTAAAGGGACATGACAACTAAATACAGTGCATGAACGTGGACTAGATCCTGGATCAGAGGAAACTGTGAGAAAGGATGTTATTGTGCCAAGTGGGGAAACTATATCACACCTTGTATACTAGGTAATTAGATAATATACACTGTATATTAGACAATACTATATCAATACGAACTTTCTTGATTTGGATAACTATACTGTAGTTATATAAGAACCTTGCTCTTAAGAGATACACGTTGAAGTATTTAGGGGTAGAGGGAATTATGTCTGAAAATACTCTCAAATGGCTCCAAAAATTAAGTTTTAAATATATCTGTGTGTATACACACTTACACACATGTACATACATATGTAAACTGAGAAGAGAATGAAAATAAATGTGGCAAATTGTTCACAAGTGGTGACTGAATGAAGGGCATATGTAATTCTTTGTACAACTCTTGTAACTTCACTTTAATTTTGAAATTATTTCAAAAGAATCAAGACTTTAAAAGTCTTAATAGAAAATTTAGCTAAGTATTTATTTAGGCTTTGGGGTAGGTAAGGATTTCCTAAACAAAACAGAAAATGTGCTAAGTATCAGAAAAAAAGGTCCAATGATTTAACTATGAGGAAATGAGGAAACTTTATTCATCAAAAGACCCTTTGGTCTTTGAAGGCACTGGTCATCCTCCCCTTGCTGGTGAGTGTTCAGTAGCCCAGGGCAGGAAGGGAACTCACAGGACCTGCTCCACTACCAGCAGCTCCCCGAGGCAGATCTGCCAACACCCTGGGCACTTCTCCACCCATCAGCTCTCCTGGGCACAGCCCTGAGGGTTGCTGAGAGCAGGACCTCCACCTGAGCCTCTAGCAACAGCCCTGGTCTGCCCTCCTTCATTACTCAAGGGCAATCATCCAGGGAGAGCCCTGGAGTCAGGCTGGAGGGAATTCTTATTCTGCCAGCCCGCCCTCCTGACCTTGCTCTATTGCCAGTAAGCCCAGGGCAGACCAGCAGGTTTTTGGTGATGGGGGCTATTTACCAACCAGTATGGAAGATAAAACATACTATCTTTTGAGGTTGTGCAACATTTTAACAACTCCAGGCAGCCCAAGTGGAAAGATTCTCCTCACCTGTCTTTCCCTCCCTCTCTGGGAGTCACCAAGGCCACATTTGCAGGGGAAGCATAAGAAGACCATGCCAGGCATTGTGATCATTAACGGACACAAAATGATTATATACAAGGTATACTGCACATGGATGCCTCTCTTTGATCCCTTTCCCCACCAAATAGAAGCTTTGGACCCCATCCTGGCTGGCTAGACAGGTGTGGAGTAATGCAGGGAGATTGGGGGACAAAGTTGCTATAACAGACACCCAGATTCCAGCCTCACTCACCACATATGAAAAGGTTTGATTTTCTGGCCTGTTTCTACCATGGAGGATGGCCTATGTCCCTACCACCACCAGGACCCCTATAAGGACTTCCTCATCCTAGGGGAGGTTTCCCACTCCAGCTCCTCACGACTCTCCAGCAAACCACAAGGCCAGTACCTCCCTTCAGGGTCCTCTCAGTCCTAGCTCATTTTGAGCTCTCACCTCCAGGGTGCAGTGGGCTGCCAGAATTGGCCTCTCCTTGGCCATCTGCTCTGTGGCACCCTGCTATCTGCTTGGGGCTCAGTCCTCCCCATTCTGGGCTGCTCTCACTCCTGCCCTAGCATACATCTACATCCCCTCCTGCGAGATGAACCTGCCCTTCTTCACCCTACCCCAGCCTGGCAGGTGGGCTTCCAGGGCCCATACTGGACTGCCTCAAGTGTTCCTGAGCACTTGTTCTCTTGCTCTTATCCACGGCTAGTTACCCAGCCTCTCTGCAACGTCGCCCTTGGCTGGGGGTGCCAGGATCCGTCCTGCTCCCTCTGCCTGTTTCCCATCCGGGTTTCCTGTTCTGACTGTTCTGTTCAGCCCCAAAGCTCCTCCCCCTGGCTCCCCCTACCCACTCTGTCCCGACTTCTCCCTGCTCCCTTTGCTGGTTCCCTGTGATTGGTCCCCTTAGGCTCTTCCTTGGTCCCTCTGTTTACTGTTGCCTCTAAATGTTTGTTTCTTCTGACTGTCCCCTGATCTCTTTCTCTTTCCTGATGCCCCGTTTACTGCTTCCTCTGATTGTCCCTGGTCCAACTGTTTTATGCCTCCCATTTCGTCTTCCCTCTGACTGATCCCTGGTGCCTTGGACTGTCCTGTGTTCCCTTCAACAGTTGTCCATCTAGCTGATCCTTAGTCTGTGGCACTGTGTGTCTGATTGTGCCCTAGTCCATCTGGCTGTTCCCTGGTCCTGACTAGTCTCATTCCTTCTAGCTGATGCAAATCAACTTCCCTTTAAGTCCTCTGAGTGCTCTCCAGTCCAGTTCTCTGCTCCTTGGGCAGTCCTGGAATGCATTTCTAATACACTTGCATGTGCCTGATGCTCCTGTGTCTGGTCCATGGACACTTCACAGAGTGCTGATATACCTGGCTCCAATCCTAGGCTTGACCACCAGAGTGTACTTCTGTGTGCTCTGTGCTGCAGCTGGATTCTGTACTTTCACCTTCTCCATCACTTACATCACATCTGAATGTTGGTAGGTTTCTCTGGTTGTTTCCTGTACAGGTGATCAACTGTCCCAGTTTGCCTAGGACTTTCCTTGTTTGAGCACTGAAGTCCCATGTCCCAGGGAACCCCTGTCACTGTGTCTGAGGGAACTCTGGCTGTTCCCCAGCCTCTCCCTGGCTTCTGCAACTGTCCCTTAACCCCAGTGCCTGCTACATGGGATCTCTGACTGCTAACCAGTTTCAGGAACAGATACTCTGCTTTCTGGATGTTCTCTCTCCATCTAGCTGTTACCTGGTCCCTCAGGCTGCTATCCAACACCAGATGCATTTTCAGGGCTCACTTTGCTGTTTCCTAGTCCTCTGGTTAGGCCCTGGGAAATCCAGGAAACTCCCAGCACCCAGCATAGCTTTGCTGTTCCCCATCCTCAACGACTGTTCCTTGTTCCATATGGCCCATGGAAGACGTTCTCTCTCTTCAACAGGTCCGTGGGTCTGTCCCTTCCCTGCTCTTCCACCTGTTCTACAGCCTCAGCAGCTGGACCCTCCTTCCTCTGGCTGCTACCACCTCCCAGGCTCATCTTTCCCATTTTTCCTATTTCTTGCTCCCTGGTGCCTCAGCTTCTCCCCATGCCTTAGATTCTCCTCTGGACCCTGGTGCCCCACAAAGTTGCTTATCCTACAGGCTCTTCCCCAGCACACCAAACCTTTTTGATCTTTCCAGTTTAGCCAGATCTTCTGTTTCCTCATCCCTCTGGATGGTCTCTGCTCCCTCTGACTGTTGTCTGGTTTCTCTATCTCCTGGTCTTTCCTATTTTGATATTCCCCTGTTCTAGGACCCTCAGCTTGTCCATACTCTGCACTATTACCACTTCTCAAGCCCTGATAACTGTTTCTTGGTCTCTCTGCTGTGGCCCAGCCTCCTGACACATGTTTCCCATATCCTGTTTGTTCCATTACACTCCTGCTTGCCCCTGGGCCCCCCAGCTGTTCTCCATCTTCAGGAAGTACACCAGGGTCCCGCCAGCTGTTCCCTGTTCTTTCTCTTACTGACCTCTGCTTGTTTTCCAGTTTCAGCCACCATTTTCTGGTCCAACTGGCTGCTCTCCACCCCTGGGGATAATTTTACTTGTTCCTTGGTATCTCTGCCCATTCACTGCTCCTTAAATTCTAATGAAAAAAACAAGAACCTAACAA